TACGACCTATTGAAAATGTACATCCCCCATTAATAAACATGCATTTTTTATTAAACATAATTTATCTCTCTCATCATTATTCCCATGCGCAACAAAAAGCCCTCAACCCAATAAAAAGCCTAAGCACTTTTATTTATGATAATTTATCCCTCTTACTCAAGTTACTATTTCCCATATCTATTTTTATTACTCAAGTTACTATTTCCCATATCTATTTTTAATGGGTAACATGTGGCTTAAGAAAATAGGAAATTATTTATTGATCAATATATATAAATTTTTATCATTTTTTTGTTTATAATAAGGTTAATGCTTCTTGCGCATATCTTAATGGACTAATATATTAGATATAGACATTAATAAGATCTAATGTCTTAAACTAATATATTGGATATTAGCATTAGTAAGACCCTGCATAGATTTATTTATTAGTTTATTTATATAATTTTAATTATTTCTTGAATGATCTTTATTATTTTAATTGTAAGTCAAATGAATTCATAAATTAATAATATATTAAAAATAATATTTACTATCACATTTATTATTAATTAATAAAATATTAATTTGTGAAGATATATGCATTTAATTCTCTCTCTAAGATCATGTTTTATTGAAACTTTTTCAATGAAAAATATATTTCAATGATTAATATTAAACATCACGTGCAACGCACATGCATATTATTAGTTTTGATAAAAGGAAAAGTTTATGATAAATTCCCCACCACACCTATTTAAATATGGTCCGCTTCTAAAAATTCATTTTTAAGATGGATTTTGCATTTGAAATACGTCTCAAGTCACTCCACTCAATGTTATCAAATTCGCTTTGTTTTGGCTAAAGAGGCCGAGGCCTTCGGAATTTAAGCATAAACCGAAGCGAAGAGAAGTGTGGTGCTTTCGCTTCAGTCAGATTTGGGCTGCTTCGGTGTGTTTCGGGTTTGCTCCGGCCGAAGCTTCAGGCTGTGTTGGTTATTAAATAAATATCTAAAGTTTTTCTTTAAAATTTTTAATTTTTTTAATCTTAAATTTTTTAAAATTTCCGTTGTTTTTGTATATTTTATATATAAATATCTAATTTATTTATATTAAATTAAAAAAACAGTACGAAGTCTTCCCCAAATCGACCGAAACACCGAATTGCTTCATTTTTCTCACTAAACCGAAAAATTTAAAACAAATTTGACAACATTCGAAAAAAGTGCAAATCTTATGATTTGAAAAATTTAAATGAACGGTCGAAAAAATGAATTCCTTAAATTATTTAAATTTAAATTTTTATTTTTTTTCCCAAAGTAATGATGGTGATTGATGAAATTATTGACCTGTGAAAAGTTTTAAGGTCAAGATATGGAGAGACTTAATTGGTACAAAACCATGTCCAATAAATAAACAATGTATGGACCACCATTTCTCCATGTGATTTAAGGGAAGACATCAATTTTGTTTGTGATTAAGGGGGACTGCGAGGACAGAGAGTGCCGCAAGAAATACAGCTTTCCTTATGCGGCAGAGCGGTAGAGGAGAGAGGAAAATTGAGAAGTAAATATTTCCCATAATAGGGAGAAGAGAGAGAGAGTTGAAGGACGAATGGAGAAACGAACCTTTCCTATGGTATTGTATCCTGTAGAGGTGGCAACAGGTCGGGACAAGTCTGGTTCAGGACCTGGACTTGAATTAATTCGACATGAATCCGGACCCAAACTAAATTTTTTTAAAAATATATATATTATTATATTTAAATATATTTCATAATTTGGGACCAAAAAAATATTACGGGACCTAAACTTAGACCGGACCTGGACCCGGACCTGAACTGCCGTGTTTATTTTTTAACCTATACCCAGACGTGGACTGGGTCTACCCCTCGGGTCCCAAGTCGGGTACGGGTCTATTGCCACCCCCATTAATTATATGAGTGAGGCGGAGTCCCACAAGCAACAAAGCATTTCATTCATAAAGATAGGGTTATTATCTATGCTAGAAATTTCTATAGGATAAGGCTTCGTTGATTTTGAGGCACACTCTTTTTTTTGCTATTTATCATGTGGAGACCATCGCCAAGTCTGTTCAAAGTTAAAACCAACAAGTTTTAAATTAGAAAAACCATAGCCATCTCTCGTAAGAAATTGAAAACAAATGAGGGAAAACAATGTCATTATCATGGACCATATGTTTTTTTTTTTTTGTGAATGATGCGTTTTTATATACAGTAAAAAATAAAAAAACAGAGAAAGAGAGTAAAAGGCTGGCAAAGGCCTGGCTTGGCTCCATTGGCCCTATAAAATTAGGTGCTGGGGCAAGCGCCCGGCTAGCTTGACTCTCTGTATTTTTATTTTTTTTTTGAGTTTATTAGGCCTGGCCTAGACCAACCCAACTTGGACTAGGGCTGGGTGAGGAATTTTCAGCTCGGTCCACTACTAGGCTTGGGCCAGACTTATTGGAATAGGCTGGGCTTGGGTGGCTACGGCCGGTTGCCACCCCTAGCTATATGTTCCATGGGAGCAAAATTCTCCCCTACCCAACTTCACGTAAAGCATGTATAGTATGCTCCCATGGGAACACTCCTTACTCTACTCCCGAGGGAAAACATCTTAGGGGGATTTTATCAATATGAAAATTTGGATTCACTTTTTTTATAATTTTCCTTTTATAAAAATAAATTTAGATTTTGAGTTCTTAAACAGTTAGATAAAAGTGTTTGAGACTGACTAGGCTTGCGAAATTTAATCCCCAAAAAGTTTGGTGTCCCACAAATGGCACTAAGATTTTAGTTTGGTGCACAAAAAGATGTCGCACCCTAAACGAAATTGCACATTTACTAAAAATATTTTTCCTTTTCTTTTGAAGTGCACATGATTCTAAAGTGGACCCCAGATCTCAAGATCAAACACCCACTCATAAGCATTGTCAATACCAAAAAAGAACTTCTTGAGTCATTGGGTTGAGGGAGTAAATATAAAAACTGAGTACATGTAGCGTACTCCTTAGGGATCACTTATTACTTGGGAGAAAGAGCTTCTTATGAGAATTCTTTGATCTTTAATTTTGAGATCCACAAAGAATGACCGGATAAATATTATTAAAAAAAAATAGAATTTTGAGTTCTCAACAATCTAATAATATTATCTAATAATTTTTTTTTGGTACATCAGGATGTGCACATGTTATCCCACAAGTTTGCACAATCCAATATCATTAGATGGTGCATATCATTCAAAGAAAATCTTTTACTATGGCTTTTAAGTATAATTTGTACGGTCCAATTATATTGGATAATGCATAACATATGATGCATCGTCGTCATAATGAAAAGCCAAGCCTATTTTTAAGCAGATGTAGTTTTTTTCTTTTGTTTTTGACAATATTATGAGCTTTTATTAAGATAAACGCTTAAAAAGCATCAGATTAGAAAAACGGTATTGAAGCACCTGAAATGAGCAATGAAGGTAGAGAAGCAAGACTATCGCTGCATCATTAACCTCACGATAGGTATAGGAGAAAGGAGCTCGCAATCCGGTGAAACACAAAGATCGTGAATTTTCATCCAAAAAACATGCATAGACCATGGGATCCTCTGCTCCGGGGATTACACCATTTAAGCATATGCAAATTTTTTTCTCTCTGCTCCGGGGCTTACACCATTTAACCATATGCAATTTTTTTTCTTTGTTTTGCTATAGGTCGTTAGGTTGAAATTGTTATCCGTGCAGGAGCTTAGAATCTTTCTATGAGCTGTGGTCCAATGAAAACATATAACACGCATACGTGCTCCTTTATTTAGGATATATTTGGTACGTGTAAAAATATTTTTATAAAAGTATTTACATGTGAAAAAATCTTTTATGTTATTAGATGTGGGAGTTTTTTACTTCGGAACGCATTTTTCATATTGGCAATCAATTAGGGTGAAAAAACTTCTACACTAATATACATGTGAGAATAATTTTTGCATGTGAATATTTTTATAGAAATATTTTCACACATACCAAAAGTGCCATTTTCACACATACCAAAAGTGCCATTAATAAAAAGGAAAAAGTTTATATAAGTACGAGGCTCTAAACAATTAAATTTGGGTGTCCCTCAAAAATTTTACTAGAAGATGTTGTTTCGATGCCCAAATATCTGTAAATTGATCATGCATGGATATGAGAAAAAAATAGATTTCAAATTTTGAAAATAGTGTATTTGTAATGTATTTTTGAACCGACAATTTTTAAGATTTTCAAGTTTTAATTTTTATAACTAGAGATAAAAATATATTTAAAGATTATCACAAAGATCTTCAGTACTGAAACTGCATTTATCGATACTATTCAAATGTGCACTTTACTTTGATTGTTTAGAACCTCAGCTCCACTGCTCCCTACTAAAAATACAAAACAATGAAAGTTTTTGTCAGTTTAGAAAAGGATAATTGTTGCACTGCATTTCTATATGTGCGGTACAGAAAGTGTAAAGTGTAAAGCATCCATCTTAAAGATGGATGCAAGCATGTGTTCCATCTAAAAACACTAAAAATTTACCGTCCAAATATTTTTTTACTAAAATTATTATTTTTAATTTTTAAAATTTATTTGTTTTTTCATATCCATGATGTCCATGTTAGAGATTACATGTCATTACAAACTAAATATTAAAATCCATCTAAAAAATAAATTTAGTACGAGGCCTGCATTTCTACATATGCGAACTTGGCCGCATAGAAACCGCATATAAACAAGGATATCATTCTCTCGTAAATCTGCCCCATTACTCTGGCCGTCAAACTTTTCATCCGTATCGGAAAGGTTGAAGGATATAAAAGCAATTTCCCAACAAATCTTGCCCTTTTTCCAGAAATTTCCGAAATTAATTAGAGCTAAGTAACTAACTACATCTGTACAAAATTAGGGGTATTTTTGTCACTACTCTAAAATACGTCTCTCATACAAACACACGTCTCCAGTTAGATTTACTGGTTCGCCTGCGTCTCTCTCTCATCCTCTTGTCTCTCTCTAACTCTCTCTCTATAAATATCTCTATTCTTCGTTGCCATTCATTTATTTTGGCTTGAAGAAATTTGAGGGGAAGCCATGAACTGAATACCCATGTGTTTTTGCTTCCTTCAATTTCTTCACAAAGCAAATTAAGGGGATTCTCTTGCATGAATTTCTGTGTTGTTTTTTGATGTTTTGGTTTACTCTGATGATCGAGTTTGGTTTTCTCTTGTTGTTTGGTGCACAGGAAATTAGGGTTTCTTGTTCTTGAAATGGTGTTTTGCACATCTCTGGTGTACTGGTTTGAAGCTGGTTTTCTGGTAATGGAGTTCAGTATGGGATTGAGAGACTGCTATTGCTAGTAGTGGTGGATTCATAGTGGAGTAAGGAGGAGGCGTTTGGGTTCTCATCTGATATTTTTTGGTACGATACTGAGTGAAAATCACGGGTTTTCAGTGTGATTGCTTCTTTTTACGGTGAAGGTGGGATTGGAAGATGAGTTGTCCTTGAATTGATTAGGAGTGTGTTGATTAACCAGGGTTTTGCTGAAAAAAATTTGTTTAGTTGCATATTGGTAAAGAATTTGGGTTTCTTGCTCACTCTGGTATTGCATTCACTGGATGAGATGGAGCAGTCTTTTTGTGCAAATTGAAGAGCTGTGGAACTAAGATGAAAAGTTAGGGTTTTGTTTTTGTTTCTTGAACTGTGAATCGATTATGATTTTCTATATCCTCACTTTTCTGATGTCTTATCCAAGTAGTGATATTTCCTATCCGTATTGGCAACAGAAGAGATATCAGAGGATTTTTTCTCAGTGAATTAAGTGATTCAGAGCATCGTGTATTTTAGGGTTTTCTCAATGGGAAACACGCTTGGTAGGAGGCGTCAAGTTGTTGACGAAAGATACACTCGACCTCAAGGTTTGTATTCTCAAGGAGATGTTGATAAAAAGAAGCTTAGGAAACTTATTCTTGACTCAAAGCTCGCTCCTTGTTTTCCCGGTGATGATGATTATTCATTTGATCTTGAGGAGTGTCCCATTTGCTTTCTGGTAAGGAATTGGATCTGCTTTGCCTTTATCTTTTACCTTTTTCTTTCTCTTTTGCGTTTTCTATTTTATTATCGGGTGTTGCTTGCTTTAGTTGTAAGTTTCCTATGCTTTTGAATGGGAGTTCTATCACTTACTTTATGGAAGTGATCTAATTAATAGTGAATTGGTGGATTGGTCAAGTAAATTGATATTTGTTTGGAAGAGGCTCTCTATGCAATCTTTTAATCTTTTTTCTTTTGATGTACTACTTCTTTCAGAACATAAATGCACAACATGTTGGGGAGATTTTTAAGTATATATGTGCATCTAAATTATCTGAGTTTCTTTCTATGGAGTCTTCACAATATGGGTTTGAGGAAACCTTAACGTAGTCCAGTGCAATGAGTCTTCAAATTCATGTCATGCGTATTTGTCTAGTTAGTAATATGCTGGTTGCCTTGGTTTGTTTTTCCATTGCCTAAAATTAATATATAACCCCACTAACACTTTTATACTGGTAGAGTATTGGGATCTGGGTTAATTGCCTCCTTGTTAAATCCAATTTGAGAGGGACATCAGTAAACATTTTTGGGCCTCTTATTGTTGTTCTGTAAGGGATATTATCTTTTTGTTCTCCATGGATCTCTAACTCGTACCTTTTCTATGGGTGGCCATTTTACACATACATGCCTGCATGCGCAACCATGTGTGTGTACACACACAAACTTGAATACATGTTACCAACATGCATATGATATTTGCGGTAAATGTCTGTGTGAATGACATATATCCGTTGAACCTACTCAATAATTTCCCTTAATTGCCTCAGCTTCTCCCAAACTGAATCAAGATTATTTTCAATTAGGTCTGGGATAAGTGTAGCCTTGTCCTAGCAATACCCCTGTGAATTTGGCCGTATTTGATGGTGACATTTCCATGAATGGGCCCGTATGTGGTCTTCACTGGAACTATGCTTGATATATGCTATAGTGAATGTGTCAACAATTTAAAGAAAAAAAGTGAATGCATAAAAAAATGGAAATTGAAGAGATCTGGAACATCTTTTCCCAAAGCAAACAAACATGAACTAAACTAAAAAACCAAACTGTGTCAAAAAAATCATTGGAAGAAAAGGCAATGTTGCAATTGAGATTTCTCCACCGCAAGTTTGTTATAATTTCAAATTCAATGATGAATATTTGCTTTTTAAGTTCATGACCTATATATGTATGTGTACCTACATGCATGTACGTGTGCGCGCGCTTGCGCACACACATGTGGGTGTACTTTGTATGCATGTACTTTCTATGTATGTTGGTACATATATTTAATCTCTTTTTTTACAACATTATACTTAAGTCTTGTCACGTGTTAATTTTTTATTTTTATTTGTTAGCTATGGATGATTATAGAGCACATGCCCTCTACTTCCTTTTTGAAAAATTTTACCTCCCTCTCTCTGTCTCTCTCTTTCTCTCTCTACAAGCATAGACACCCCCAACCTATCCATACACTTAAATGTGCATCCTCATGTTTCTCTTTTTTCAATGTATACATATTGGGATGTATGTGTTGATGTACATATACATCATGCATGTATATGCACAAACACATACGCATACTTGCAAAAGCTTGTGTGTTATTCACTCACATAGATGTGTGTCTATGTGCATGTGTATGTACATGCTCCTTTGAAGATGATGCCCCACAAATTATCTGACCTTTTTGTTTTCCTCATTTATAGTTCTATCCTAGTCTCAATCGTTCGAGATGTTGTATGAAAAGCATATGTACAGGTACTCTTGTGCTATTCCATGCTGTCTTGTGTGATATCATTAAGTCCTTTGAGTTACAGCTATGCACTAACAATTCCTCTTTTGCAGAGTGCTTTTTACAGATGAAACCACCTCATTCTACTCGCCCCACACAGTATCCTTTCTCATTTTGATAAACTTCAAAGTTTATATCTGATGCTGAACTTTGCTTGTATTCCTTTAGTTTTGTAAAAAAGTTCATACATGACATAGTTCCCCTTGTTTACTTGACATTAAGGTGTCCCTTTTGTAAAACCCCCAACTATGCAGTTGAATACCGGGGTGTCAGGACAAAAGAGGAGAAGGGCATGGAACAGGCTGTAAGAATTATTTCACTAGAGATGTATATCTAGCATAGACCAAGTTTAAAACTTTCATCTTAAATACCTTTTTCTCATATCTAGGAAGAACAAAGGGTTATAGAAGCAAAAATTAGGATGCGGCAGCAGGAGCTTCAGGATGAGGAAGAAAGAATGCATAAAAGACAAGAGACTTGCTATTCAAACAGGACTTTGACTGCAACTGGAGTTGAGTACCAGGATGTTACAAGTGGCTCGCTTTCAGGTTAATAGATTTTTTTCTTTTTTTTCCGGGTAAATGATATTCTTCACTATCCTCGAAGTAACAATGAGCAAATCAGGTGTATAAAGTGTTGCAATGGTATTGAAATGGATGCCATTGATAATGAAAATAGGTTTTCTGTTTTTCCAGTGCCACCTGTCACCTCTATCACTCAAGACAATGAGATTGGGTTTTACCAGGAATCAGTGGCTGCACCTGTGATTCGGTCACCTGCATATACGAGGCAAAACAGGTTTGCAAAATGTAACAGTTGTAAACATTCTCTTATTTTTTATGTGATGACATCCTTCACAATATCTCCGTGCTGCACATGTGCTTTGATTCTCATTTATGTAATATGTATTTTGGCCTCTTTGTTGCTATTATGTATGACTGAACCGAGTTTCTTTTTTTCCTACACTGTTTAAGAAATTTTTGGACAAAGCAGAAAGACATGCAACGTGCATTAAAGCTAGCATATGCTCAAATTGTTCAATTACATATTGATCGTGACTGAATTTTAACAGTGCAGTAAATCATGAAAGTTGTAATAATATTAGACTCAAGCCACAGAATTTGCAGCACTTTTGAAATTAAAAGATGCGTAGATGATTACGCTTGATTAGTAGATTACCATGTTCAGTACTCTTCGAAGAGCATTCATAATCTCCAATGTTTTATTTTTTTCCTAAACCAGGCTACTTTTTTTTTTTTGACAAGGTCTAAACCAGACTATTTTGGATCATTAGATTGAGTTTTGGGCAAAGTTCGGAATGAATTCAACAATCATTGTCAATTTACTTATAGATTTGGAATGATCCTGAATGAATATGTTTTTTAGTTAATTCAATAGGACCATATTCTTTTGCATCAAAAGTTTTGTTGTATTTGACTATTTTCTATAATGGCTTATCTATCAGATCACATAATTTAAAGTTATGTAAATTAGGACCGGGCTTGGCCAGGCATGGTCTGATCCCATCCTGGATCCCTCCCTATAGGGTCCTGCTTGGCCCGGACCAGCCATATGGGTTCTAGCCCAAGCTGGCCTTGGTGGGGTTGGCTTGGGCCTAATAGATTCAAATGAAGAAGAAAAGAGGCGGGGGTGAGAAAAATAAGGGGAAACACAAGGCCAGGCCTGCTATGGATAAAGCCAAGCTCTGGCCTGGCCCTTGGCCACATTTTGTAGCCCAGGCAGGGCTGGGCCGCCCAGCCCATTGCCAGCCCTGTATGTAATTTTATAACTCATATTTCTCATTATTGAAATTAAATGGCACTTTCGTCCAATTCTGGTGCCGGTTCATATTGCTTGTGGCATCATTTCTTTTTCTGAGAAATAATAAAATTATGATACTCAGCACTTATGACAGTGTTTTTAATTTATTTTTGATTGAAATATCTGAAATGATGCTGTGGACCATTCCATCATGTACAATCTGTGTGCAAAATGCATGTTCACAAAGGGAATTTTGGTTGTTTTAATGTGCATCACATATTATTTTTTACACTGTTCTAATATTTGTGCTTATCCCAAAAACTACAGAGTGATTTTCGCAGTCCATCGATTAACTGCAGATAACCATTTAGTGGTTCCCAATTGGGCACCATCTGTGTGGTGCTTCCATGCCTGAAACAATGCCAAAACCTCTTTGTGGTGCCTTGTTAAATTAAAAAATGCATCAAACTCTCATGTTACCTCAGCCAGTATTTAAACATTGAGCCTATTTACCTCCCTTTGAGGTCTAAGCCACAATCAGTGTGTGATTCCAATGCTATGTCCTTCCTTTTGGCATTTCTGTCTCCTTTACATTTTACTAGTTTAGTGATATACAATGTTATAATATTGGACTAGTCATGAATCATTTAAGGGTTTGGTCCAATTGTGCAATCGGTCCCATTGTCAGTTGAACTGGTTGGATTGGATTTAAAAAAAAGAAAAAATAATAAAAATAGTAAACAGAAGTATGAAATATATTACAAAAATAGTTGCCCAACCTTGTTTCGTCGGATCAGCTGGTTAAACTAGATGGCCAACCAGCCAAAACGAATCAAAGTTGGTCTCGAAGAGTTTTCGACCTAAACTATTTTTTAGCTCTGATGGACCAAACTGGCCGAGGCACCAGTCGGAAGTCCGACAGGTTGGACAAACCTGGTCCAGTCTTGATGATGATGGTGATGGTAACTTTTAACAGTTGGTATGATGTATACAACTTAGCCTTGTTTACTGAAGTTTATGGATCAATTTCTTTGGGTTTGCCGACTCCTCATACTTGACATATATTGTTCTTCATGGAGGCAGGCCAGGTGTGACATCCGTAATATCCATTTGAGTAATTCCTGTCATAGAAATTAGGTTAAGTCTAGAAGATTTTGATAGCCATTATGGATCTCAAGGTTGAAAGTCCCGAAGTTGTTCATTCCATGAAACTAATAGTCCTTTATGGTTTGCCTTGAGCCATACGATTGTTCTGTATGACTTGTTGTTTATACATGCGTGTGGGGTTGTAAATAGGTTGGGATGGGTCAGGGTAGTGCCCGATCAGAACCCAACCCTGACTCGGGCACGGGTGGGCAAGAAAGATTCGGAGGCAACCCTGGTCACCTTTTATTATTCAATGATTCTAGAATATATAAATATGCAAATATATATATACAATTATAATATATGTATATATAAGATAATTATTATATTGCATTTAATATAATATATTCTATGATATATTGTAAAATGCTATCGTAAGCACAAAGACGCTCTCTTTCTTAATTCCCTCGCCCGCCCACCCCATTCTACTACTAAACCAATATGGAACTAAATGGTTTAGCCTAAAACCTGATTTGCTTGTGCACTCTCATTTACCAATTACCCTTGGGTTATATAATATCTCTCTCTCTCTCTCTCACACACACTCAACTTGCATTTATCAATGAACTAAAGCAACATAAGAGCTATAGAATATAAGAATCAATACAACTTGCTTGTAATTGACATTGACAATGCGAAAGTCTTTTCACTATGAGACTCGGATCCCTCAGGTTGTTTCATGGAAAAATTGGGGAAAAGTGGGAGGGTTTTTAGTAGTGAGAACACTGTTTGACTACGCGTTCGAGTCGACTTGGATGTGCCCGAGTAACTTGAACTTGGAAAGATGTGTCGCCTGAGTCCCCCCTAAATTTGGGGGTATATAAAGTTGAATAAAATATTTAAAATGGATAAAGGGTGAGAGAATATATCTTCTCCCAAAGTCTGCAAGGGAATCCACCCCAAAATATATTTTCATAGGATCAACTCTTTACTCAAGTCCAAATTCTCTACTCTTTACAGTGAGGAACTCCTTCCCTTTAAATACACTTAGAAGAAAATAAATAGATAAAAACAACCTATAAAAAATAAACTTTCTCTTATCTCTTTCTCTCTAAATCCCATATAAGTCTCTTTCTCCATCTATCTCTCTACATCTCATGTTATCTTCTCTTTCTAAAAGATAGTAAAAAATAATTCCTACTTATCTTAAAAGATAAGCTATTTCCTAAACCAAAAGATAGGCATTCCTAGGTGAGAACTCAGGCCCCTACTAAAACTCGTGCTCAAAAATCCTCGCTCCGAACTTATCCTAGTGCAATTCCTATTCCTAAGAAAAATAAACAAAAAAATAGTAACACTAAAATTTTGACAAATCTCTTTCTGCATCATTCTCCCAAATTTTGACAAATCTTTTTATGCATCATTTAATATTTGATTAACTAGTTATTTTATATTTTTTACTTTTTGAAAACATTTTTCTCATCTTTTATATACTTTTTCTACTGTTTATCATTTCATTTTTTTCTTAGTTTATATATTTTTAAGGATTTTTCTTTTTCTTTTTTGGCTGTTTTTCTCTTTTGTTGGGCAAACTTGTGTGAGTCAACTTGGACTTGCCCGAGTAAACTGGCCAGGCTAGTGGCTGAGTTCAGCAGCCCAACTAAGTTTGAAAGTGTTGGGTGAGAAAAAGGTACATAAAAGAGGACAGAATGTTTGATCTCAAAAGATTGTTAGGAGAGCCCTTGAGCATCTAATGAAGGGAGACCTGCAATTAAAGAGAAGGAGAAATCAGTTGACTTTTAGGAATATATTTTGGTTTCAATTTAAATGATTGGATCCAACCACCACAGTTTGATCACAACCAAAGTTGTGTGGTTGGTGGGTGTCTGTGTGTGCGTGAATGAGTGATTGCGAGAGAGAGAGAGAGAGAGAGAGAGAGAGAGAGAGAGGAGTGTGTTGTTAGATGTTGAAAGAGAGAGAGGGTATATATAACTTATATTATATACTAAAATATTAGAGAGTATCTAATTATATTATATTATATTTATATAATATACTAAAATATTGTATATTATATATCCTAGCTGGTGGGGTTGACCTAGACCCCCCTGACATCATGTCTCTATTTTTGGACTTGGACCCAACCTGCCAGGACCAAAAATTAGACTCAGACCTGGAACCTTGGTTGACCTGCCGGTTCGGCAGGTTGACCCTACCCATTTACCAGCCTTACACTCATGTGGATTTAGCCTGTGTTTGCTCATAGTCTTTGAGCAATATATGAGGTGTTTTTCTGGTGTAATACAGCCCTCTCTTCGTTCATAGCATGCTTCCAGCTATGATCACCCTTGGCTTCTTGAAGGACTTGGGCTCTTGATGTATAGTAATTTCTAGTGAAGCAGAGTGATGTTCGAAGGAGACATTTCACATAACAACCAAACTATCGTTTGTTGTTTTCACAGGAGGACTTCATTAAAAGCAGAGATGAAGTTATTGCAGAATAGATGTAAAGAAACTTGCATTGATTGCATGAAGTGGGAGGTGGAGGATGATTGTTGTCTTGTAAAGTGGTGGCTACTGTGAAGGATGAAGTTGGTCTTGGACACGGGAGCCCCGATTGTCTTGTAAAGTGGTGATTACTGTAAAGTAAAGGAGGTTGTGTTTTGACTCAAGAGCATGTGTGGCATAGCATACTTCTAATAGAAAGTGACATGGGATCCAATGGAGATGTGGCTTATTTGGGGAGCCGGACTCATAGCATTAATAACATTTTTTATGTTCACTTTACCCAACGTCCCAAACCATAAGACACCCCTTGGCCTGGGGGATAGTTGTGGCAGTGGTTGCTGTTAATATGAACTCTAACATTGTTGAGCACCTCAAGGTAAGTGTAGTATAGAACCATAACAGTGGGAAACTCTTACAGGAGATACCATTTGGTAGGCTAGAGGAAAGCCAATTAATATCAAGCTGTGTGAAATGCCTTAGTACATTAATTATTGAGGGAAACTTTCTTAAGCATTTCACAGGTGCAAATTCAATGCTGTGGCATTGCTCACAAGTCACGATCCGTAGTTCCATTTTGAGCTGGAATACAGGAACATGAAAACTGAGGGTTCGGAACTATTCTTAAGAGAAAACATGCTGAGGAAAACTCATCTCCACCATGCTATGGATCGTTCTACTGTGGTAATCGTTGTATATTTTCAGAGCTATATGGTTGTTTGCATTATTGATTTTGTATTGGATCCTTTGTGACATTTCATTTTGCAATATATAAATAATTTTGACTTGGGAACTTTGTAACAGATTGTGTACATTTTTTACGACAATTCTTTAAACTTGGATTCTTGTCATACATTGGAACCAGGGAATTAGGAATATGTGGATTTGGCTATCGCAAGCCTCATAACTGTTGTGATGGTGCTTTACATGTCTGCTGACACATCCAATCTTACTCCAGGCAAATATAAAAACAAAAAATTGGGAAAAAGATAGTCTTGCACTTCTGATGAATAGCCATGACTTCTGATATTTCTGGAACAGATATAAGCTTTTTGTGGATACTTTCTTTGCAGAAGACAATTATTCTGTATCTTCTGGTTGTAGACATTGAATATCCATAATGATTAAAGTAATTAATGATTTACTTGAGAAGTAAGGTTGTGAATTGGCTGATTTGTTCTTCTAATCGAGGTCAGAAGTTTGGCCTTTGCTATAAGTCTATACCTCATAGATGTATACCTTGTGTATTATGCTTCGTTAGGTCTTGTATCTTCTTAAAGCTTTTCTTACTTTTCATATGCTTGCATCTGCTCATGGTTGGGTATTTATGTCCTTATGCCGTTCCCTAATTTTAGGCCTCCATCTTGGCATGGGATGCAGGGATGAAGAATTCGAACTGGACCTTGAGGATATAATGGTTATGGAAGCTATCTGGCTTTCCATACAGGTAACCTTTTTGACTGAGCTACACACCAAGGTTCCTGTATTTAATTGAAGTTCTGTGGTAAGTATTATAATTTAATTGCATGGACATGATCATGGGTATTTGTGTACTCTATATTAAACACTCCACTCCTAGCCTCTTGAATGATTATTTGTTAGTAATTGGTAAAAGTGCAAACAAGTAAAATTTAAGATGTAATCAAACTATCGTAGGTTTCCATGCTTATGAAAGATTAACGGGAGCTTGGCATGAAGCATGTGATTAGAAATTAAATGGTGCTTTCTCTAATGGGGCAAGAGAGGCAGTAACAGAAACTGAAATCACCCGCTCAAACACATATGTAGAGCTCATCATGCTTCCTTGCCTTTATAGACTAAACATGCTTGCCTGCATTTGGTTTGATAAACAATATCTCTTTTCTCTTCTTTCTCAGTAAAAGAGAAAAAGTCCTGTACTATTTGGAACTCCTTTTTATTTTTGAAATATTGGAGTATTCGTAACGAGGGAAAAGTTCCTACTGTATAAATATTGGAGCGAGTCACAGAATTGCCGTGTGTGTTAATGGCTGAATCATACTGTTTTTTCTAACTTCTCACTGAACCACACTGCTGAAACTAATCAAGTTAAAACCAAAATTCAAACTAGAAACTGTAAAACTGGAATATTTTGATGTAGCTCGTCATCCAGAATACATGATTTTTTTATCACAATTTTCTATATACTTTCCTTGTAACCATCTTGTTATACATATCGATTAGCTGTCTCCCATTTTTATCAGGTAACAAAAATTCTGTTTATATAGAAAAGGAAGTACAAAGAACAAGCGCGCTAATTAGTTGTCTCCTGTTCTCATGAAAATTCTTACTCTTTGCCCGTATTATATGTCAATGTGCATTTTTTTGTCTGTATTGTATATCAATGTGCATTTTTTTGTTTTGTTTGGGTCAATGTTGAATCACCAAACAGGAACATGGAACTCATAGGGCTCCTCCAATTCCCACTGCTCTGCCTCCACCACACTCTCTCAGTGGTTATGGGCCACTGCCCATGGAACCATCCCCAACCAGCGGGCTGGCGTGTGCCATAGCTGCCCTAGCCGAGCAGCAGGCATCGGGTGCAGGCACCACGGCCACTACTGTGATTCCTTCAGAGAGAGAGGAGGGCTGTTTGGACCATAATAATAGTAATAGTTACATGGCAGAGAGCAGCAATAGCAGCGGTTGGATTGAGGTGTCACCAGATAGTGGAAGGGCAATGGTCCATGGGGCCCAAGCGGGGGGCACGTGGCTCCCGTGCCCTGGGGAGGCTGAGGCTGGGCCTAGTCATGGTAGTGGCAGCATGGGCCCTGTGTCAGCCTGGTCACCGGACCCGAAAGCGGTAGGCTCTTATAACACCTTTTATGAACATTTTACAATAATTGAGAGAGAGAGAGAGAGAGAGAGAGAGAGAGAGAGAGTGA